TTCCTGTACGTCCTGCTGCCTGCGTGGGGGTTGCAACAGGCTGTTGATCGATTAAAACATCAGGAACGTTTCTTTGCCTTAACCCGAGCGACTATCTAAGTGGTTGAATTAGTAATGGTACCCGACGTTATTGTAATATGGCAATATCAAGCATATTGCACAACTCAAATGTCAAAACCTTAATCGCCATTTTCATAACGTATTTCTGCTTCTGAATGTTGGCTCAAATACGGGTGCTGTAATACGCGTGCTGTCTTTCTCTTCTTGCAATAAGTCTTTCTGGACGATGATTTCTATGTTCCCGACCGTCATAGCGTGTCTCTCCAAATACTAATGCCACAGATCGGAGGCTCCAGCATCCTTGACATCTCCAGTAGAGGCAATTCAAGGGCCATGTCTTTAACCTTCCAGCCAATGCGACTAGAGTTAACAAACGGGCGCCACTCGCATCCAGGATGATCAAGTAGTTGGAGACCAATTTCAAGCCACCCGAACAAAACATTTACTGCTCGATCGATAATTCTCTTCCTCAGCCAGGTTATTATGGGACTTCCGCTTGAACTCAGTCTATGTGATAATCAACAGACTATCTGCACGTCGCCTCGATCAGAACAGCAAAGTGCGAACCTTGCGCAATCATAAGAATCTGGATTAACCTTTTCCCCAATAGCTATATCAGAGACCTCAGGTCGATAGCCCCCTTCGACTTGGTCCCTATCCTTCAAACCCCACACTTTTCACTCAACCACCGCGCAAACTTCACAGAGTTCCTATCGACGAGCCTCCATTGCACATCACCAAGCCAGATGCAGAATGTCATGGCAAGGCCGAAGCCGATACCCCATGATAGCCCCTGGCTGTGTCCAGCGGCGAGTAAGCTCAACTTCACACCCCAAGCCATGAAGCTGCTGCTCACAGTCCAGTGGACCAAGTACAGACCATAACTGATCTCCCCCAAGTACAAGATCCATCGGGCATTCAGGCCGCGTCGCGGAATAGACAACCCTTCGAGTGAGGCTACCAGTCCAATGGCTGATATTGTTGCGAAGAAACGTGTTGGATCGTAGCCGCCAGTCGGAACCCACTTAAACCATGAGTATCCCGCAGCGGAGTAACCGTCGCCTAGCATGGGCCAGCCGCCTAAGAACAGCGAAAGAAAAAAGAGCGACCAGCAGATGAAAGCAGTGGTCCAACGCGCCGGTCCCGTTAGTTCCGGAAAGTTCTGTCGCACATGGCGAAAGTCGGCAAGCAGCATTCCCGCAAGGAACAAGGTATGTTGCCAAAATCCCAGATTGAATAGAAATGCAAGTAGCGTGGTAAGCAGCGGCAGGCGTACTCGAGACGACGTCCGGGCGAATGCCATGCAGCACAGAAACACGAGCAGAGAGCCTTGGTATTCAGCCGAAAGCGTCCACGCCTGGGGTAGTATGGTGTTGGTGGTGCTTTGCGTAACAATAATGACCATTGTGCGCCAGATGAACACCGCTTGCCCCCAAACACTGCCAGGAATTGGCGGGATGAGACCATTTCCGTTGTACAAGCCCTGAAGCTGAATCATAATAACAACCATAATTAGGACTGGGACGACAGGGAGAAAAAGTCGAATCGGTCGGCGGAATATGCTAGATGGTAGAGAGCCTATGGCTGCTTCACTCTGGCCATGATGCGATTTCTTCAGTGGCCCATACGTGAGGGCAAACCCGCTGATGACGAAAAAGACGGAGACGCTGAAATACCCACCATAGATGAGTCGGATAAATGGAAGTTGAATTGGGTGGCGATATTCTTCAGCTTCTCCCCAGCCATGATACATGAAAGAGTACTACCAAAGATCTTGTTAGTGACTGAGAGATCTTAAGATTCCAATTTGGAACTCCGAGCAACGCCCATGTGCCTCGAGTGCCACTCACATCATTGGTGTTGTGATAGATAACAACAAACAGCGCCGCTAATCCGCGAAGCCCATTGAGATATGAGGTGTCGTTAGCCGGCGGAATTACTGAGCTATCATCATCGTGGCCCAGAGCGCGTGCAACGAATGATGGGAGTACCGCCCAGAATATTTGAAGTGCGTCTTTGGGTCTCCATCCAGAGCAGTAGCGTTGCTTGTGATGCCGTTGCTTGATCTCGTTTATTGGCAAGTCGGTGGAGGAATTCGTCTCCCCATCTTCGAGCAAAATGTACGAGCCACCGGACTGGCTTGACGAGAACCATCCGCGAATGGTTTCCAGTGAAGTCTTGTACATTGTTCGGTTGGCAATCCGAGGCAAGAAAGCTGTGAATGGTTGATTGCTGCGTGATGCTTCGAATCGTTGCCAGTTCTCTCTGCAGTATTTTTCTCGTCAATGGCCTTCTGTCAATTCTGTTTGTCGCAAAGGTCGCCGCTTGCCTAGGCGATGTTCTCCGATGCAGCTGCGCTGCGGTTCCAAAAAGGGCGAGGTGAATAGAGCAAGCCCGTGGCTGGAAAATCGCTCGGGATCCCGCCGACCTTGCCGGTACTTATTATCCATGCATCGGTCCGAGAAGAAATCCATCGGACACTATTTCTTCCTTCCAATCGTACCAAATAATCTTGATCGCGGAGGCTAAGTCCACGCGAATGTCTCAACCGCTTTCGTTGGTCGCCGTCGCCGAATCAGGCAACGCTGCTAAGGATGTCCACCGAAGACGGTGATAGAATACTAACATGATGTCACTAAATCTATATTCATCACTTATTTTAGATCGGAAAAGTCCGAAAACAGTAAGATCGATTCTTTGCGTACAATGCTTCTGCGTTGGGTGGTCCGGTCTAAAGCGGGGGCATTCCAGCACCGCTCTTCGGCGGAAAACGGTCAGGAAACCATAAATCCTGCACCCCTAAGAACGATTATTTGCCCGTAGCTTGCAAGTAGATAAGCTGGGGGCAGCAAATGTGATATTACTATACGATACTGTCATTTGTTTTACCCAATACGCCATTGGACTTCGCAGCCCTGCATTTCAAACCGACTTAATTGGCGTGTTGAAGTAATGCATTCGGGATGCGAGATTCCCAGACACGCGGTCAGACAAACACCCAAGGATCTGACCAAACGACTACCACCTTATCAGATCCTGGACCATGACAGGCAGCCCCGACTTCATCGAGTGATTTGCTCCAACGCCGACAAGGACAGCATTTCCGCCGTCGCGGATGTAAGCAGCGCGCTTGAACACGTCCCCCTGATTCCCGATCAGCACATCCTGCAGCAAGACAGGATCGCCTCCGCCATGGCCACCGTCACGCTTCTCAACGTCAACCACGTACGGCTCCTCGAACAGAGGATAAACAACAATCTTGGTCTGCTCTACACCTCCTTGAATGTAGTTCTTCTCCAAGTCTCCCAGACCCTTCTCCGTCACAGGCTCCCCTCCTGCTGAATAGCCACTCTCGACTACGTTAATCTCAATACGGCCTTTGCTACCGTTGAAAACGCAGCGATAGCCCTCCCATGGAGCGTAGGCGTACGTGTTGTATGTCATGACCGCGCGATTCTTGTACTTGATGATCATTGAGAGATTGTCCTCAATAGTGATGCCGTCCGCAAAGCAGTTGCGGTCCCGGATGTATCCATCCTCATGTTCGGCCTCCAGGTAGAGCTTCTTCAGCTGTGCGTTTTCGTCGATGTGAATAGCGAACGGGTCATTCTTGGCTTGCTCGTTATTGAGGTACCGTTCCTCGAGGTTTGTAACCCCTCGTCGCTGAGCGTTCTCCTTGCCGTAGAAGCGCAGATCACCGAGACAGTAGACGAGTTCGGGCTCAGTATTGAGCCAAAAGTGAACCAAGTCAAAATGGTGAATGGACTTGTGCATCTGAATGCCGCCGCTGGTTTCTTTGTTGCGATGCCAACGTCGCATGAAGTCTGATCCATGGGCACAATCCAGAATCCAGTCCATGTGGACTGTAGCGATCTCTCCTATGACGCCCGACTGGATCAATTCGCGAACCTTGGTATGGTGTGGGGCGTAGCGATAGTTGAAAAGAACCCTGATCTGCTTGCCGGTCCTTTTCTCGGCATCAATCATGAGTTGGAGTTTGTCTTCGTCAATTGTCATCGGCTTTTCCGTGATTGCATCGCAGCCGAGCTCCATGGCCCTGATACAGTACACGTGATGATAAAGGTCGATAGTAGTGACAATCACCACGTCCGGCTTCTGTTCAGTAATCATCTTGTCGAAATCCTCGGCTTTATATGTAGGCAGCTTCTCACCGCCAAGCTCGATGATTCGTTCATTGGCAGCGTTGAGCCTGGTTTGGTTTGTGTCGCACAATCCAACAAGTGTCGCAACATCGGCGAAGTCTTGAAGAATGCTCCCATAGTAGAATGCCGAACGTACTCCCATGCCCACAATGGCGTAACGCTTGACCTGTCCTGGAGCCATGACAAAGAGTGGCTTGTAGAATGATGATTGACTAATTCCGGTTCGGGGAAGCAGAATGATGTGTGTTGATGAGTTTTTGGTATCTCAGACGGAGGTCCGACACAGAAAGGCCTTTAATACCTGACGGCAAGACACCAGACGTACCTCGATCCCATGGTCATTTGATACATCACCAACACACATACCATTTTGGGGTCGGCATTTTACGTGAACCATTCAACTCGCATGTCCAGAAGCCGCCGTTTAGGCAACTGATTCAGCAACAATATTAGTGAGTTTCACAACCAACTCAATAATTTTGCAGATCTGCGGCCCTGCATTGGCATTTGGCCATCTTGAAGGTAACACAAGAGCGGAAACTTCCGGATTGGGGTCGGAACGGTATTCAGATGTGCCCAGAATGAAAATGCCATTGGATGCAGTCGCACTCGTCGGCGTAACGGCATAACGCCGAATTGCGGGGTTTCGGGCGCGGGGTGGGCGGCCGTGCATCACGTCACAAGCCTCCGGTGGTGCCGGGTGAGTTGCTTCTCTCCCCTCCAGTGGGCGGCTGTGGCTGTTTGTAAACATGCACATATCGCCTGCAATTCACCAACATGCAAATCAAAAAATTTCAACTGTCGCCGCCCAGTCTCGAGGAGCTGGCTGAGAGGCTCCGATCTCCACTGGCGGCCAACTTTCACTTTTCGTCCGTCACAGTTGAAGCTTGCCCTGACCTTCGCCAAGCTCCATTCCACCTAGCTACGCGGGGTTTGTCTGGGGATGAAAGGGTGGCCGATATTGGCGGGCAGCCTAATCTGTTTCCTCGCCCGCGGCTCGACAGCTTTTGGGCTATGGATGAACTCGCTGCAGCAATGGATATGAACAGTGGCAGTGGCAGTGGCAGTGGCAGCTTGATCGGCGCTGGCGCTGGCCCGTTTCACATCATTGGTCAGAATAGCGAGCTTGCTCCCAATCTCAGCTGGGAAGATGGGTTACAGACAATCAACAACCAGACCCGAATCATCAAAATTATGAAGACCACAGGTGGCGTAGGCGTTGAGAAGAGTTCTTCATTGGACTGTGGATTGATGGCAAACCTTTTCGGCTGCTCGGGCGAACCTGGGCCTGTTCTTAGGGTTGTTGCCCGAGGACGAAAAGGTGTCGAGAAGAGCTTCACCGAATGCATTCGCAAGGCACTGTACTCTGCATATGGCGACGATCATGCCGTGAGTTTGGGGGGAGCATTCGTGGTCAAGTCTGGGAAGGCGGTTTATCACATCATGCCCGACTTCCCTCCAGAACGCGATCTTCCTTTCAAAGACCGTGGCCAAGTCGACGCGTGGCTCACTTGGCATGAATTCCAGGCTCCAATGGTGTGCTTGTCAGTTCTTCACTCTGCAGATCCCGACAAACTTGGTCTGCGGATGGAGCATACACATTGTTTCTCATCGGAAGGGAATGCTGGAGGTCACTATCACTACGAAGCGGATGATTCCGCAGAGGACGTTGAGTATGAGGGCTACTTCAACACAGCAAAAGTAATCTACAGGATAGACAATCCGGCGGCCGCTTAATCGTTATACCTATCGCCGGTCTGGAAGCGGGCGGCGCGGTAGCTAAGGATCGGAAATATACCCCTACATTGCCATTGCAGGAGACTTTAGATGAACTGAAAATTTTAAGCTTCGCCCATCGGTTCCCGACACCCTGGTCAGAAGCTACCTACCTATCTTAACCAGCTTGTAACTGCAGGCTGGACCCGAAGTAGCTTATCAACTAGTGTAAACCACTTGACCCAAGTTGTCGAACATCGGAGCCATTGTCATATTCATTTGTGTGTTTTCTTCGACAAGTATAATGTTTCTAGGATTCGCCAGCGTGAGGGAGGATCGGAGTCAATATCATTACACACCAACGCATTGAACCCCTTAGCAAATGCGAATCGCAGCCGAGGCACTATCCAGGGTACTGGTATTCTCGCAGCAACGGACCACGCCCGACTTGAATGCAACATCGATTACAGAGTAACGCTTGTTGATTAACTCTGTCAAGGGTTGAGCCGTACTAACCGATGTCCTTGCGGCCCCCGCGCTACTCTTTGGTCACGGGATGTGGGAATGGCGCGCGGTGACGCCGTCAGAAAACATAAAGCACAGAAAGCCTTGCTGAAGGCTCGTGGCGAAGCAACTGACTCGTTACTAAGCTTCAATTAGGTCATTGTCCGCTTCATTTCGCTGGGCCTCCTTTTAGGCCCACTCTCGGGTCGGAATGTGGGGGACGAGATCCCGAGTAGGAAATAGAGCCTGCGATCCCGCGCGGCACCAAGTAAAGCTTCTTCACAGTAAGCTCTTATAGGTGGAGTGATGGGTCTTCCTAGGATTCAAGTCGGAGTGTCTCTTTGAAGTGGATCGCAACTTAACGTGCATCCCACTACGCAGTGGGCTGATGGGCTCAACATAAGGGTGCTGGTCAGGCCGATCCAGGGGACGACGCGAAGAACCTATTTTCAGGAGGATAATATAAATCTCGACTGAGACCCAACTCCAAAAGCTTTTCAGTTCCACGACCTCGTGCAAAGATCGCAACTGTTGCGGCTGTTTTCTACCTGTCGTTCGTTCACTGATATTCGAAACAAGACGAGCCATGCCTTCCACTCTTTCACTGTTGGCAGCTAGCCTAGTGGCCGCAACCTCCGTTGTCTCGGCGTTCCCTTTCCACCTCAAGGAGACCGAGAACTGTTCTGAAGTCAATGGTACCTTCTCTATTGACAACTACAAACTTTACCCAGAGAATCTTGACTGGGATCCCGTTCACTGCAAGCTTTACATCAGGTACAGTGACCTAAACCACTTACACATCCCCCTGTCTAGATGTTTCGTGCTCATACTCACATTACCGACTACAGTGCCAACTTCAACTCCACTGTCCTCGTCTACGATCCTTACGCAACAACATACGACATTCTCACATTTGATGGAATTACCGGTGTTGACCCGTATCATGTCTCCGGCATTGACTACGACGCGACCACTGAGTCAATTCTGATCTCCGCCAACAGCGGCAACCCGTTTGTAACCTCCGGAAAAAACATGACTGGAGCCAATAAGGTTATTCGCTGGGATACCAACACAAACTCGGCCGCCTACACCGCCGACCTGGCTGATTTTACCGCTAAGTTGGCCATCAGCAACATGACTGGCGGCGGATACCAGGACTTTGCTGAGGACAAGGAAGGCAACACGTACGTTCCTGTCGTCTTCCATGTCCCTGCTATTGCCAAAATCACCAAGTCGGGAGAGGTGTCATCTTGGTACATTGGTGAAGCAAGTACTTCAAGCAAGTACATCTATCTCGGCATCGTCTTCCACGAGAGCACCAATAAGCTACTCATCACGGCGCCTTACCTTGGTACTTTTGTCTCCTTCGACGTTTCCTCGTCCTCTCCCACCCCTACGAACATTACCATGAATTGGCCGGCAGATGGGTCGTACACCGCTAGTGACCTAGAGTGCGATGGTCTTCTCAACCCGGCACGGTACAACCGCAACGTTCTGCTCTGCTCTGAAAACGGGCTGCAGGCCATCACGCTCTGGGCTTCGAAGGACGGTTTCGCTACTGTTGATTATATCGGTCAGGTTGCGGATAACTTTACCACCGATATCGCAACGTGGGCGTCGCCAACTGCTACGGTGCAAATTGGTAACAGCATCTACATTTCGCATGAGTACTTCCATGATCTCAACGAGTTTGATGTCGCCGGCAATCGGTCGACCTTCCCCTTCGTGGATGCTACAGCAGATTTTGACAAGCTCGTTCTTGCGGCCGGGTACACCATCTCCGACGCTTGACAGCTTCAATGGGTGAAATAGACTAAAGGGTGCGGGAATGAGTCATATAGATATTTGAGCAATCAAGAAAAAGCACTGTTTCATATTGATTTTGTACCTTTGTCGTCTAGTCTGTGATCAAAAGAGATTTCTGGGATTAATATTTACGAACAACACTCATAGTATGATCCGTTCTTCGCCGTCTTCGGCCTTATCACTGTTTGCCGACTCGGCCGATCACCCCGCATTTTCCCCGTGCGGGGTCGCAGTGGTGGTGTTGTGGCATTGTGGGGCACTGTTGATCCAGCGGAAGGTTTCCTGTTCCGGGGCGCGTTCGACGAAGAAACTCTCCCTGGTCAAACCTGAGCGGACTGTTATCGTTTGTTCCAAATTAGGGGTATTCCCGACAAACTCGCATCGTTATTGATCACACTCCACAAGCCAAAGGAGTCTCTACAGCTGCCCAACTCCTCACAGTGCCGTCCGCAGGGGTGAAGCCTCGGCTACCAGACGGCGGAAAGAAACGGCGGGACGTTAGCCTCATGGAGATTGTGTGGCAAGCATCAAACGGCACTGCTAGGAAGCGCAATTCTCAAGATGAGTGATGTTTACATACCGCCAGGCATCTTCTGGTTAGCTAACATACGTTCCGCTCTCACCGTGTCAAACATGTCGCACTCGGAAAAAAAGGTGCTACCACACCGAGACACTGCGTGACATAGATTCAAAGGTCCCACCTACTTCTTCGCAGGACGACGTTCTGGCTTCCTCCTCCACCACACGCGAATCAAGCTCGATTCCGAGCAAAGTCAGCCCATACAATCCCGAGTCTGTTCTGGAAGACTTGTCCGAGAATCCAAAGTCGACCTCATCTCCCCAGCAATTCTACGCGTGCCTCAGACACCCGCAGTCCGGCCAAGAAACTGCCTCATATGTCGAAACAGACCCCGAAACAGCAGAGAGGACGAGACGACAAATCTTTTGGTACCGCAGGCAAAGACGTAAGGCATCTCCGCCCAAACTGTCCGAGCACCACCGCCGGTATTTGGAGGACATCGGTGCCCTCCTCGTACTACCAAAATCAACGACGGAAGCCTTGCTACCAATCTACACTACGGTCTTAAATGACCTGATTCCCATACTTGATGGTAACTGTGTGCTTCGAAATCACAGCAACGGACAAGCTTCAAACTACTTGATTAGAGGAATCTGTCTCGTCGCATGCAAGAGTAAACAAGCCGCTCCCTTTTTGCAATTAGTGGAGGATGGCGAGGTTTTGAACCCTTTGGAATTCGCTTCCAAGTTGCTTACGGGTCTGGACGCTGCTATGAAGGCAAATCTTGAGCCGGACCGTATCACGAAGATCCAGATTCTGGCTTTGATGCATTTGCACAATGATGGATTAGGTGGTGTAGACCGGTCGTCAAGCTATTTATCGCAAGCTATCTGCGAGGCATGGTCCATATCACTCCATCTCAAGGTTCCGGGAAGCCCAGATCGTAAACAGGGCGACTTCCTCTGGTGGGCACTCCGAAACTTTGACCGACTAAACAAGCCAATCATGGGGGCAGCGCCTTTCATGATCGATGATACCGACATCGCGCTTGACCGTATCCCCTTAACGGAGGGAGATTATAGATCACAACTGATGTCAGTCTCACTCACACTTGGGGATCTTATGATCGCCGCTACACGGGTCTACAAAGCGAGCTCTAAGGCCACTGTTGATGACTGTGGCGAATTTCCGTCATTCATGCAACTTACATCAAGCACGTCTTTCGACAGCTTCCACCGGTCACATGCATGTGAGTAAGCAATCTTCGCCGATTTGGGCTTTTTCTGATGTAGCAGCCTATCTCGAGATCTGGTACCACGTTGCTGCTATGCTGTCTTGTCGATACAGTGGCCCAGGCAGTCTCCAATACAACCGCCGTCTTGCATCGGCTGGAGGGGTACTTGAAATCATATCAAAAGAAGGCTCTGATCGACTCCCGCCATTGCCTCTGGTGCCATATGCTGTGTCGATGGCTACAACAGTCATTTACCGTGCGTTGCGAGATGGCCAGCGAGATCCCGAGACTGCCTGTGAGGACCTAAGTCTTTGCTGCAAGGCACTGGATGTCCTATCGGAAAGATGGACTACGGTCAAAGGTGTCGCAAGACTGGCCAAGCGCTTATTGAGATTCATCCAGAGAAGTCTTCGTGAAGAGCAGCCCCAATGTACATGTCTAGGCCCTGCGGTCCCTGACAGAGGTACATTGGCAGTTGCTTCAAGAAATGGTCTGTCCAACTCAGCGCCTGACGGTGGGAATGCACCTAGCAGTGCCAGAAGTCAGCTGAACGCTGCACCTGACTCGTTACATAGGAATCAATCCATCGACAAAGACCTGGGTGGCATATCCGAAGCGCAGCTGCAGACGTCAACTGGCGACCTTTGGGACCAGGGCGATGTCTCATATCTTCAATTGGACCGGGCGTTTTATGACATGTTCGATGATGGAATGCCTGATATCTTTCGGGATCCTGCGACTTGGGACTTTATGCATGTACCTGAGGGGTACTATGATCATTCACCAATGGAGTGATAAGAGTTTGAGACACAATGAGAATGAATTGTAGTCGTGGCACCTGCAACATTAAAAGTTAAGGCGAATGATCATGTACTCAAAAGACGTGTCTTGCAGTCCTTGCAAGGAAGTTATCAATGTGCTATGATATGCCATATGATTTCGATAGCCCCCATGTTCCCAAAAAGGCCTCTGGGCCTGCGCTATTATCCACTGCAAATATCCAATCAAGATCGATACCTAGTTCGGCTCCCATGGCGTCCGCATTTGCTTGAGCCTGGGGTGAGTGATGCTGCTGCCGTTTGCTCGGTTGGGTGGTTGATGCCGGGGAGTAATCACGAGGTGAAGAATTAGACACTGAGTCTTTTCTTAGTCTCTTTCTTGGAGTCGAAGATGTTGCTGAAGACTGCCGACGCAACCGATCCGACCTGGCTCGAATTTCCCATTGCCTTTGTAGCATTATGAGGAAGTCATGAGCTCTTTTGGCGTTTTCCCAAGAAGATGAGAACTCATCCAAGGCTCTGAAGCATGCACTCAGCTGTACTCCCAGGTCGTCACATCCCGGCCTTTGGATGTGAGATACAGTCGCGAATATCAACAGCAGTGCAGCCGAGCAGGTGATCGTTACTCCCTGTATGTTCATACGCTTCAAAGTATATCTCTCTTCGTACAACTGAAGGATCTTGGCAATTGCCACAGCAGAGTCGACGCATGCTTTGCGGGCGTGAATGTGACCTGGACCTTGAGGTGGTTGGGGCTGGATGTAATGCTTTGACATCCAAGGTCGGTGAGCATGTATTATTGCTTGATGATAATCCATGCTATACTATATCAGCATACAATCCGCGATTGACTGGATAAGTTTTCTACTTGTTGAAACCTACTGCAATAATAATACGTGAGGCAAGTACGGCGTTTTCGTATCTTTCTCGTCGGTTTGGACCTGAAGTACTGAAGGCAAACAGTCTTTCCACTCCTTGAGTTCTTTCACTGTCTTCTGGTTCATCTCCTGCAGCACGTTTGGTGGAATTCTTTGGCTTCCATATCTGCAGCAAATTAGGTCAACAATTAGGGTTCATGAAAGCGACCAATACTCACAAAGCATGGCCGAGAGGCGCCATGATGTCGCAAAGAAGTGCCCTCTGGCTGCAAAGCAGTTCAGCATGGTCTGGCTGGGTTATTCCGCAGGAATCAGGGGAGACATAGGCAGACCAATGCCCTGATATGCTACCGTCTATGCCAGGCTTTGCGACAGTTACGTCTTCCATGTTAATTCGGAAGGGGCGGCCAAGGTGCAATCCCCAAAGGCTGTCAATTGATGAGCTCGACATTTGCCTTGCTGGACGAGGAACATGCTTACTGATCAACGGTGTATGCCCCCCAAAATACAGTTTTGCGCAGGTCTGCTTCCTCTTGACTGATTGAGCCCCTTCTAACATAGGGCGTCATGTCAACATGCAGTGCCAGATCAAACGCAAGCCTCATGGCCATCCCTATCCATATCATTAGCTCAGAATCTCGCGACGTTTTGCAGGTACATGGAAATACCGCTGTAGAGCCATCCGCGAGCATCCCGCTTGCACCCAATGTCATGGCCACTTAGAATGACCATGGCCTGAACTGTAGCAACAGAAGGGCAGTCAAGCTCAATATCTAATAGTGCTTTGGCCCTATCAGCGAAGAAGTCCGCTAAAGACTTCGGAAATGTAACGAATGTTGGGTGGTGACGCGATTCAAACGCAGCCCCCAAGGCGCATCTAGGACACACATCAGTATCAGTGCCGACTCTGAAATCTCGGTTGAAGAACAAACTCACATGGAGTTACGCAGAGCTTCTGAATAATATGGGTTATCAACCATGTGATCACACCACTGCACCTTGGCCTTTTGGTACATTTCCCGCTGCACGACGTGTGAGGCAGGATCTTGCCATGTGAAATAAAGGTTCACCAAGTGATCCTCAATGTCGTTCGGTACGTCCTTTCCTATTTCCAGACGATCCAGATATTCCTGGCCATCATTTCTCACTGTTCGGTGCACCGTCATGTTGTCAGGGGCAGGCATCTGTACCAAATTGAAATTTGATGTAGGGCCATAGTACCGTATTTGACCGTCCGATCCGATCTGCAGAGACCCAACACGCTCCGACAAGCGATCTACGAGCTCCTCTGTGCTTTCAGCGTCGCTATCGTCGCCACTAATTATTGTTGGAAACGAGATTGAGGGTCCGAGGGTACGTTCGGGTTTGTCTGGGACGGCATGGACGTCATTTGGTACAGAGAGTCCTTCAACGGTCATATTTGTTGTTGCTCTGGTATGCACAATGTCAACGAGATCATCTGAGCTGTGCCAATCCCAATCAAGCTCAAGGCTGTCAGTCTGTTCATTCGATACGATCTTTCGGTCCTCCCGCCATTCCAGTGGCAAATTTGAGATCAGGCTCTCAACCTGCGGAGTGTCAAATGTTGTAACGTTTTCGTTGACGGTCGTCGTTGGAATACAAAGCCGATCTGTGTCGTTAAGTCGAGCTACCGGACTGGAAGCACAATCTGGACCGACGCTTGTTGAGTTTGCCTTATCTGGCTCTGTACTCATACTCCCACTGTTCTCTCCTCGTGGATAAGCGTGTATCAGGCCAACGTTTTTCAATACTCTCAGCAGTACGGTCTCGTCATCCTCTTGCATGGGCGGTGGCAGCAGGTCGCTTTTCTCGATGAAGTGAGTTAGTTGGTCAACTCTGGCGCAGAGTAGTTCGATCGCTACTCGGAGAGATAATCTATTGATGTTCATTCGGGTCAGAAGTGGTACTTGTCTGCATGCATGATTGACCTACTTCCGTTTATCCTCATTTGCCTGGAACTGGCAATTCTTGCCTTTACGCTTGCAGTTTGAACAGCATGGGGTCTGACCATCACACTAAGATTCGTCAATTGATTTTTTTCTGCTTGGGTGTAGCACTCCAATGGGCAAAGGTCTTCAGGAATTGGAACTGACTGTCGCTTCTGGCGCGTACCTTTACTTTACTTTCGCGGCACGGCACACACGCTGTCGTGACATGCTTCCTCTTGTTTGTCGACTGCGTTGCTGAGGCCATATTGGTGCGGTAATCGTCTCAATCTCCCGCCAGCATTCATCTGATGAAGTGCTTCAATCTCGGTGCAGAATGTCAGGTATCACGGTCCAACAACACACCACCCCACCGGCACCCACTGTTAGTGCCGCGCTGAGCTCGTCACCCTACCACTAACACCACCAAATCCACCCCTACAACCTACTCTCGCCCGCGATGGCCTCAGAGCCAGCCGCGGGCGCCTCGCAGGGCCCTAACGGCCTCCTATCCTCTATGCATAACCTGCCGAAGACCCCTCCCCCCCTTACCTCCCTACCACCGCGTCCGAGGGGCCTCACGCCCCCCCCTATCCGGCCCCTTGGAGGAGGGCCACAATCGGCCACTGCCGCTCTTCAGCAAGCCCGGGAAGGTCGGGCCCTCCGAGATGAGGCCCTGGACCTCCTCGCAAAAGGCCTAGATGCCCTCATTGGGACGGCTCCAGCACGTCTGAAGGCTACAGCCCAGGACCTCATCGACTCTTTTGCCAGATTTGCAACCACAGAAACTTCTGGACCCACCCCTACCAGCCCCGGAAAAACGTACGCCCTGGCCGCCGGAGGATCCACTAAAAGTGGATCCCTCTCCGGCCCCAGCCCCGGCCCCAGCCCCGGCCCCGGCCCCCGGCCGAGCCGAACAACAGGCCGGCAGGCCACCAACTACGCAAACAAGCCAAAACAGACCCAGGATCTCCGCCTACTGGTTAGGCTTCCTGCCGAACATATCCCTACCTCCAGAACCCTAGCCCCTCACTCAGTAAAAATGGTAGTTACAAAAGAGCTCAACCTACAACCACAAGACCTAGTTGAGGTTCGCCATACTGCTACTGGCTTCTCGCTGAGGCCCCAGAACAAAGAGATACAAGCCCTACTCCTTCAGAGGGCCCCTGAGATTAAGAACTGTCTCACAGCTGAGAAGGTAGAAGTGCCTACAAGATGGTACCAGTATTCCATCCCTTTTTGCCCCCTATACTTCACAAGCCTAGATGGAAGTAGGATGGGTATTGAATCTGAAATAGAGGAAGAGGTCTTCCTACAGACAAAGCAAAGACTCCTCTCCTGGCGCCCAACCCGAGATAGCCCTGACCTAGCCACAGCTACGCAAAGCCTGATTATTGCCCTCCCCCAGGGAGTTAAGGAAGGCTTCCGCCTGTTCGGCCAGTCAGGCCCAGCTCGTCTGCTCCCCCCTAGGAAACAGGTCCCTAAACGACACTCCTCTGGCTGCCAGGGCTTCCACTCAAACCGCTACTGCACCCGGCAACCCCTCTGTGAGAACTGCAGTATGCCCTTAGATTCGCATGAGGATAGGATCTGCCTAGCCAGGTCTAAGTGTGCTAACTGCTATGGGCCCTTCCCAGCAAGCCATGCCAACTGCCCAGCCAGACCGCTACTAGTTAATGGAAAACTTGTTATACCTACCTATAAGGAACTGCGAGGGATCCGGAAGGTTGGTGGCAAGGCCTCAGATGACCTCCTAGCTAGTCAGGCCTGCTCCCTAGGCAGCACACAGCAAGCAGAGGCCAGGCTGGGCACTACATCTAAGCGCCCTCGACCCCTCACACCTACACAAGACTCAATTGTTGTTGCAGATACTACTAGCATAGCTGGAAGCAGCAATAGTATGGATGAGGATGAGGCTGAAGACTCTGAAGCCCTCCCCCTTACCAACCGCCCTATCTGCCCGCTTCCAAGCAGTAGCAGAAGCCAGAGGGTAATACAGAAGCCTGACTACAACGTTATTAATGCCTATACCCACCTCGATCTCGACTCAGAGCCGTAGGCTCAAAATGGCTACCCCACGGGTACTACGGGTCGCCCAGTGTAACGTGGGGAAGATCAGCCCAGCTCATACAGCTCTCCTAGAGCTCTGCTGGGCAGATCAGATCGATATAGTACTGATCCAGGAGCCCTGGATAGGCTATAGAGATAAGATGCAAATCAACACACACCCAGGCTATAACTCTTACGTACCAGTTGACTTCTGGAACAGCAGGGACACAAGGCCTAGGGTTATGACCTACACACACAAAAGTCTAAGGTTACAAATACAGCAGCAAAGTCCTACCCTATCAAGGGATATCCTATGGATCAAAGCGGGCGACATTACCATTGCAAACGTCTATAGACCACCAGGTGAACCCACAAACCACACAACAAATACCCTCCTAAGCTATCAACCGCCGGAGAGAGCCCTTATTGCTGGGGATCTCAATGCTCGCCACTCCTCCTGGGAACCTGGCTCCCAAAGCCGGAACCGAGGGGACGATATTGCAGAGTGGGCTGAAGGCTGTAATCTTAACTTTATTGGGGTAGCTGGGGCTCCAACCCATACCCATGGGCATATACTCGACCTCAGCTTCTCAAATATCCCCTTTACAGAGGCCTGCATCAGCCCACACCTACATCCAGGGGCTGATCACCAAGCTATTATAACGACCATACCTATAAGCAAAACCCAGGACTTGAGGTGTCAGACTAGCCACCCTGTGGTCTCAGACTCATCCCTACTCCGGCTAGCCGACCTAGTGAAAGTAGGGATCCTAGCCCTGCCTACCTTAGGGGATACACCTACTTCAGCAGAAATAGACTCCCTAGCTACCCAACTAGTCAGCCTCCTCTCTACAGCTATCCAGGCTGTAGGGAAGAGACGGACTAACCAGGGCAGGGGAGCCCCCTGGTGGACAGAGGAGTGCTCAGAGGCCCACCAAGCAGCTATTGAGGCTAGGCGTCAGCAAGCCCAAGAACCTGGGCTAATAATACCACCGCCCATCCTAGAGGAGCAGAAGGCCTTTCTGACCACAGTCAGGAAGGCAAAACGCGCCTATTGGGCTGCTAAGATTGAGGAGGCTGGGTCTAACCAGAACTTATATCAGATACTTAGCTGGCGTAAGTCTGGTCTAGCTGTTAAAGCCCCACCTCTATTGGTAGATGGACAGGCTTTTAACAACAGCTATGATAAAGCCCAAGCCTTACGGAAGGCCCTACTAGAGAGATTTAACGCTACAGACGACTTCCATGGGAACCCATTTGCTATTCCTATAGTTCCAAGGCGTCTAATACCCTGGCAGCAGATAGTCAACATTGAGGAAGTACGCCAGGCAACTCTCACAAAGGCTACAACCCCTGGGATTGATGGGATTACTACAAAGTTACTACAATCCATTTGGGGCCTGATAGGTGTTCCTATACAGCAGCTCTTTCAGGCCTGCGTTCAGATAGGCTACTTCCCTAGGACCTTCCGCAAAGCAGAGGTAGTTATGATCCAGAAGCCGGGAAAAGCAGACCTCTCAAAGGCTGGATCCTGGCGCCCAATAGCCCTCTTATCCTGCCTAGGCAAGGGCTTAGAGCGGCTGATAGCAAAGAGGATGGCATATCTCACCATTCTGGAAGGAGTTGCTAGCCCACAGCAGGTTGGGGCATTACCAGGGAGGGCTGCAGTCGACCTGACAACCTGTCTAACCCATGAGATCGAAAGAGCTCTAGACTCAGGGCTTACTGCAACTCTAGCGACAATGGATGTCAAGGGGGCGTTTGATTCTGTCCTACGAAATCGACTTACTATTAGGCTACGACAGCAGGGCTGGCCTAGTAGTCTGATTAGACTGATCTTCAACTTCACCTCTTGCCGCACAGCCCGGGTAAGGTTAGAGGATACTACCACAGAGGACTTCCCTTTATCCTGCGGACTGCCGCAAGGCTCGCCACTATCACCTATCCTTTTTCTGCTATATATAGCCGATATCCTAGCTGACGATCAGAAGCTACGGTTTAGCTATGCAGACGATATAGGCCTGCTGGCTACTAGCCCTTCCCTGGAGGGAAACACTGCAGCCCTTAGCCAGGAGATAACTCAGATCCTAGACTGGGGCACTGATAATAAGGTTACATTTGACCCGGCTAAATGTGAAGCAATCCACTTTAGCAGGAAACACAACCAGTCA